TCATGTCTAGTAATACATTTGTCTAGTTATTCATGGACAATTTCCAGTTAATTTCCCTGTGTTTTTGTTTGTAGCATATTTTAGCACTGAATGTTGAATTTTGGCTTCAATTTGTAACATATGGCACCAACATGGTCCAAACAGATTCTCCACAATCAGCCATTGGAAATATGACCATGTTAGTCATTGATAATCAGGCCTTGGGGCCTGAATCATGTTAAAGAAGGGGAATGAATACATGTCATTCTTGGAAAGCACCACTAAGTTCATGTTTTCCCCAGGCCCTGGTGGTTAGAGGTCCAGTATGCGGAGATATCTAGATGAGAGAGCTGCCTCCTTCCATAACAACTAACGTGGCATTGACAGCTTGTTTTCTACAGGGTCTGTCACTGCCAATCAATCTCTCATACCATTTTGCCAAAAAGTACAAATATATATCATTTAATTACATTAATTAATTTTAATTCTACATTAAAAAAATAGAAAATATTTAGATTTTTTTTAAACAAATTAATTTACAAAAAGCTACTTTTTTATATATATATATATATATATATATATATATATATATATATATATATAGTTTAATTAAGAATTGTAATTAAATACATTTAAATAATAATCATTTCCACTTCCATCTAATTTACAAAATGCTATTGGCATCGCAAACCAGTGGTGTTTTAACACATTGGGACACTGAAATGTGCACTTGCACAGTGATTTTTGGAAACTGACCCATGGTGTTCCTCCTGGATCGGTACTTCATCCACACTGATTGTCTTTGGATGGAAAAACAAACATTTATAGCCCTGTTCAAAGTAGCTTGATGGATAATAAACAGACATATTTCAGATTACGTAATATGAAGAAAAGTGAATATAGCCATATTTTAAATAGTAATAACACATTGAAAGCACTGAGCGAACCGATCAATACACCAGAGAACAATAAATGAAGATGATTAAATTTATTGCTGATGATATTTTATCACTCTACTCACCTCTCTTTCAACTCATTACATGAATTTAAGTACACGGCTAAATGTGAAGCCAAAGTTGAGTCCTGTTATATTTGCAGAGCTGAAACTATGAAACATTATGTTTATTTGAACTTTAAACTATGAAACATTCCGATTATTTAAACTTTGAAATCTATTTATTTGAACTCCAAACTATGAAGAATTCTATTTATGTAGTGACTAGTGAGCGACTGTAACTTTGTTACTAAAAAGACAAACAAGTAATAAAGCAGAGGTTTTATGCACTAAATGCTTGATCAGAAGAAACTGTGGCATTATTTCAAAACTGAATAGAACAGAGAAAATAAACTGCAAAGTTTCCAGCTGTTTTAGGCAAAAAACTCTGTTTTTTTTCTTACCAGTCAACTTTATTCATTTCAGTTTCATTGTCAGATCGATCATGTTTTGTTCTTTAACAGTGTTTTTTTTTTTTACTGCACCAACAGTTTCTATTTCCTGTTGTTGTATTCAATTAGGCTGTGAAGTCTTTAAATGTCCCTCACCATTTAAACCTGTCTGATCCGCTCTCCATAATGTTTTTAATCATCTTTAATGAGTGTGTGCAGTAAATATTTAGGACCAGCTACATGTTTGATTGCTGCTAATATGGATGTGATTGTGGCCTCTGGGATTCTCCCAAATAAAAACCACACCAGTGTTATTATCTCTCTGAGGTTTCACCTCCTGGATTTTTCCCTTGCCTTAACCAACAAGGCACTGCTTGACATCTGACTAAAAGGCTTTAAAGTGTTGTGTTTTAACATGGGAGTGAAAAACAGGCCCCTTCTTGTCAGCTGTGAGAATATGCCGAAGGTTAAATGCTTGAATTCTAATAGCATATGATCAAGAAAACACCATTATCCAAGGTGTGTGAGCCTATATCACAAAGATTGAGAATATACACACCTCACGATCCAACCAACTCACTACAAAGACATCTTTGTAGACTTAAGATGCACGCAAACCAGTATTAATTTAGAACACTTATAGTTTTAATATATATATATATATATATATATATATATATATATATATATATATATATGCGTGTGTGTGTGTTAGTTTTATTTATTTATTTCAAGTAATGTATGGTTTTAGTTGACATAACAACCCTGATGCAAACCACATCTAATGTGGCTTTATAGGGTGTATTCAAAATATGGTCCAATTTTCCTGAATTCACCCATATTTGCCCTGCACCTGGACAATGCAGTCATAAACTACAACGTTTTAATCACGTTCTCATGTTTACACAACAGTTGCAAAGTTGAAATCTTAATAAACAAGCAGTTCTGGCACCACCCGATGGCCATTAAGAGAAAGTTCATCCCTTTCGCAGGGCAGAAGAAAATAAATACTGGAAAAAGGCAAAAACTACATGACCATATATCATACATCTGCAAGCGTAAGTGTAAACTCAAATTAGAGTGTTGCTTCCACTTCCAAAATAATAACACATTAAATGTTCAGTAAACCTGGCTAAATATGGAAAGAATAAAACCTCTATATTTGCCATTAAATGACAGAATGTCTTGAAAAGTAGGCTGAAAGAAAGAAAGCAGTGATTAATAGCATCATTAGTAGTTTACTTTAGAGAGTGTTCTAGATCTTCAGGGAGCAGTCTAGTATTATTTCACAAAGCATATTAGAAATATACTGGCTGACCTGCACAGTAATATGCAAATAAAGCAAATGAAAAGAATGGCTTGCCTGTAGATTTTGGTCTTCATTGCAAACAGATTTGAGCCTAATGAGGAGCAGATTATGGCATGATTCTGGTCTAAATTAAGCAGCAGGCGTTAAGGGCTGCGGGAGGCACAAACGAATGCATTTTGTATGTTTTACTAGATGCTTTTTATGAGTATCCGCAGTACTGCACTTACAGGAATAGTTCACACACACACACACAAATTTAGATGAGCTTGTTTCTTCATCAGAACAGATTGGGAGAATTTTGCATTGCATCACATGCTCGCCAGTAAATCCTCTGCAGTGAATGGGTGCCGTCAGAATGAGTGTCTAAACAGCTGATAAAAAACATTAATAATCCACAAGTAAGCCAACTCCAGTCCATCAATTATAAACAATAAACTATAAAATATAAAGTAATAAACAAATCCATCATTAAGGCATTTTAACTTTAAACTGATGCTTCTGGCGAAAAATACCAGTCCATAATCCATAATAACAATTTCTCCCCTGTTGTCCTCTCACATTAAAATCCACCAACATATTTGTTTAAAATGGTTTTGGACTGTTTTTGCTTGTGAACGGTGTTTGATCTGTGCATATTTCTCTCCTGATTCAGACGAGATGACTTTTTCATTGAAGAAAGCGATATTATAAATAATAGATAAAGGACTCTTTTTTTAAAAAAAGTTAAAAACTCTAAAAGATGAATTTGTTTATTACAAACATGTAGATTTCCAATTACTGTATCAAGATGTTAATTGATGGACTGGAGTTGTGTGAATTAGTTGTAAATTATTGTGATGTTTTTACCAGCTGTTTGGACTCATTCTGACGGCACCCATTCACTTCAGAGGATCCATTGGAAGAAACAAACTTGTCTTGGAAAGCCTGAGGGTAAGTAAATTTATTTTGGGGGGAACTATTTCTTTATAATGCAATGGGGAAGCTATACGTTTCCACAAATGATCCACAGCTCAGAGATCAATCCAAAAATACTGAAAGTTTCTTTGAAAGTACTAATAATATGCTTGAAAGGGCAGAAAATTGGCTACATCTGTGCTGACATGTAACTTCTACACAACACTGTTATTGTTTAAAGCTCAAAGCGAAGAAAAGTCATCACTTGTGTGCTGCGCCGTATAGCGTCTCTGAAACAATCTATTGTTACACAATAACATAATGGATAATTCACAGTGGTTTCTATAAATGCTGTTCCAATTAGTGATAATTGCCCCTTAATAGGATACAGCTGAACGCATGGTTCTGATTTATTTCCTACGCTTCAAAACAAAGATGTTATTAATAAATATTTGGTGGGATTTTCCCGTGGGCAATTTTGAGTGGTGTTGTACATGACAGGAGAGGAATAGATCAGAGGTGTAACTGAAGTGCTTTTCACATTAACAAACGAATGAACTCCAGTTTTGGATAAATAACCAAAAATCGCATGCCCATTACCTCTCGTTTTTTGAAACCATACACACTACCCACACTGTTTTATTAAGAGAAATTACATCATAATAAGCTAACGTATTGAAGCAAAATACTCTTGTAATACTCATATTTTTAAGCAATAAATACAATTGTTACAATAATGTGTGAACAATATTAAAATTAGTTAATGAGTCTCTTTCATAATGTGTGTAAATGTTTGCAGCACCCAGAAATGAATGCAGTCACATAGCCAGCACACAACAGGCAGGAATTATTTAACATCTAAACATCAGACCATGTTTTGGACTCTTGGACTCTTTTGCCATCTTGTGGACACAAACTGCATAACAGGTACATACAGGTTGTTTCACCTCGGTTGATCAAAATGCATTAAAAACCGTAATATTGTGAAATATCATTACAATTTAAAATAACTGTTTTCTATTTTAATATATTTTCAAATCTAATTTATTCTGGTGATGGCAAAGCTGAATTTTCAGCATCATTACTCCAGTTTTCAGTGTCACATGATCCTTCAGAAATCATTCTAATATACTGATATTTAAAAAAAATCAATTATTACTTATTATCTATGTTGAAAACAGTTTTGCTGTGTAATATTTTTGTGGAAACAGTTATTTTTTAAAGATTTTTTGAAGAATGAAAAGAACATTTATTTGAAAGAGAAATCTTTACTTTCATGTTTGATCAATTTAATGATTCCCTGCAGAATAAATATACATATTATGTATGTTTATACACTTCATGTTTAATTAAAACACAGTGTAATTAAAAAAAACATTTATTTAAAATATGTTTTGAACAAGACATCAAATATAATAAAATACAGCTGTCTTTTACAAGCATACTGATTTTGTTGATTGGTTCCACTACAATTGACTATTTAATTCATTCCAGGTACATTTGAGCGTCAGTCTTTACAATTTATTTGAAGTGTTTAAAGCCTTGAGCATCACGTTAGATCAGCTGACCAGATGTTAAAACTACTCACACTGACACTGCATTCCTGCTAATCAGTAACTAGTCACAAAGACAAGTTACAATGTATCAACTCTGTTCATAAAGAACATTTATTCTGTTCAGTAAATTACATGAACAGAAAACATGTCAGACACAATTGTCTTGCATATGAAAACAATTATGCATATATAAAAATATGAAAGAAAACAAAAAGCTAGTGGTTACAGGGGGAAAAAATGCTCATCACTGACTCTCTGGTCCCTAACATTGATAACCCATGTATCTCACACCTGAAAATATGCCCTGGAACGACAACACATGGCTTCATGTCCCCTGATTTAAAATAGCAATTCTTCCCTTTTCATGAATTCCCTTATGGAACAGTTAGATGGATTTATTAATATAACCTGAAATGATGCATCCATCATAACATGTGCATCTTGCACTAACTTCATAATAATGTCAATAGTTTTGAGTCCTTATAAAAATTAATTCCCTTGTTTTTATGGACTTGATTGAAAACAATTGTGCATAATAAAGATAAAGTGTCTATGCAGACTGCTGGGTTAAGTGAGAACTATGAGATAAAAAGCCACAATACAGGACACATGAGTAATATCAACTAATCACCTCTAAAAATTCACCACATATTTGGCTCTCAGTGAAATTCTCTCATGTGTTAACATGTGGCCACCATATAGACTACATTAGCAAACACTGGCCTGTGTGAAAGATCATTCTGAACCAAAACCTGATTGCTAACCTTCACCACTGTGATGTAAGTGTCAACCAAACGCTCTCTGCATCAGAGCTGAAGATGTGTGTTCAGTTGACTGATGGCTGCTCAGAGCTCTCCGAGTCCTCTGTATCACTCCCCATAAGGCCAGTCACCTCAGGCAGATCTACAAAAACAATACAAACATCAGATATTACATGTACAAATTCATATACAGTACACCACCATTCAAAGGTTTGGAGTCAGTATGATTTTTTGAAAGAAACTGATAGTCTTATTCAGCAAGGGCACATTAAATTGATAGTAAAGATATTTATAATGTAACAAAAGTTATTTTCTGTTTTTTTTTTAATGCTGTTGTTTTGAACTTTCTATTCATTAATGAATATTGATGCAAACAAGTAGTAATAGTACAGTTGTTTGCAGCACTGACAATAATAATAAGAAACATTTCTTGAGCAGCAAATCAGCATATTAGAATGCTTTCTGAAGGATCATTTGACACTGAAGACTGGAGTAATGATGCTGAAAATTCAGCTTTGCCTTCACAGGAATACATTTCATTTTAAAATATTAAAATAGAAAACAGCCATTTTTAAATTGTAATATTTCACAATAAATATGACTGACCCTAAACATTTGAATGGCAGTTTAAACCTATGGAATCAACCTTTTATTATCTGATACTGATCACTTTTAAAGGGGTCATATATTTTTATTATGAAAATAATCACTTATATATACATAATCCAGTTAATCATGACCATTTCTACCTTCTTCACCTTCAAAAGCACAAGGTTTGGCAAACCTCCCCACATTTTATCATTAGTCTGGGTTTCTTAATAGGTGTGCTTAGAATAACTGAATCAAAGTATTTAGTTGTCACAGAAAAAACAAATTTAATCAATAAATAAATATGATGCAGCCTGGTTTCTTGCACTCCATCATCTCCAAACATTGAAGAAAATTTGCCTCGTGATTTGACCCCTTTAAATTAAAGGTGGCTGATTGATGTTTCTGATTGTTTTTGTGGAAAAAATCATGTAGTTCAGATTCCTGATTGTTATTTCAGATGCTGACATGTTACCCTCACCCTTAAAGTCTTTGCTGTTTATTGAACCATTCATATGATCTTGCATAGATACTGTAATACAAAACATCATGTCAGCCATGAGGTGAAGAGGTTATCGAGTAACACTATTAAACAGAGGCAGTCAAAGAGGAAGTACATGTTTAAAAGCAAGAAAGACATAAATGATAGTTTTGTCAAGTGTCTTACAGTGCACTATCTTTATAGGCCAGATAAGGATTGTGCAGAGGCTCAGCGCTGCTAAAACGGCCACTCCACCAGTGACGATGACCATGATAGAGTGATAATACCACACACAGCCTGGACAGCATACCATTGTGCTATATGAGAGAAATCACACATGTAAAAAAAAAAAAAAAAATTACATTTTGTTTTACTTCTTTTACTCTAAACATAAAATGAAACCATTAAAACAGTCTCTCTCACAAGCAAGCATCTATGCAGGGACATACACACTTACCGGCAGGGATGTAGCGTCTGAATAATCATAACTCCCAGACCATTAGCCACCTTGTCTGTGAAGCTCATAGCTCCATAAACAAAAGCACCACTTTGCTGTCAGGAGGAAAAGAAAAAAGTCAGAATCAGAAACTCGAACACGTCTTTAATAGCACCATTTTAGTTCCTTACAACCATTTTTACACTTTTGAAACTAGTCACTCTGAAACATATGCCTTTCACTTCTGTAAACATCTGAATATCTTACTGGTTCAATCATGCGTTACTGTTGAAGTTGTTAGTGCTGAATCCACTCTATAAAACATTTGCTTCAAGCGGTTCCTGTTCATTTTCAGTTCTCCATTACTGACTGATATCAGCACTTACTGTTTGGTCTCCTATGAGTTCAGCTGTCATGGCAAGTGACATCACCAGGATGGTAGCGGACCCCACTCCGAGCAAGACCGCAGCGCCATACACCTTTTCTCCCATGTGTTTGTCCAGCAGCACCCAACAGGAGAACGCAAGAACCAGCAACAGTCCCAAAAAATAGATCATCTGTCAATAAGAAAAAAGGACACTTTAGTGCAAATAAAATCCTTCTATCATATTGTATTAGCTTCCAATACTGCACATGAATACTTCCAATACTTCCATTCGTTTTCATTGTCATTTTTAAGATGGTCCCTTAAATACTGGATGGGGACCAGGGGTCAGGGGACCAGGGGACCACTATGTGGCCTTATGGTTAGAGAGTTGGACTTGTAACCTGAAGGTTGTGGGTTTGAGTCTCAGTACCGACAGGAATTGAAGGTGGGGGGAGTACATTTACAGAGCTCTCTTCCACCTTCATGATCAATTACTCTAGTGGCGAAAACTTACATATTGTACCTTTAACACTTGATGGGCAATTTCCTATTTTGTTCTCTTTTTTACTTCCTGATGAAGACAAGAAGATTTTTAGCACTAATTTAACAAGGATGCACATCAGGTGTGTTATTAAAATCTATAATTGACATACCTCCAACTCACAAAGCTTCGGCTCAAAGGAAATCACACATTTCCCCACTAGTAATTACGACTTTATGGTGGTGTTCGTGTGCGCTCAACTCATAAATTTGATCACACATATATGACGCAGCAAAACTGACTGGTATCTCTGGATTGTTAATCACTTCCAATAAAGAGAAGAGGTATATGGTTTATATTTCAATCAAAACACACACATGCAAACTTATACTCACACATTTGCCTATTAGCTTGCTTAGAGGCTTCATGATAAACGAGGAAGCAAAGCCACTTAGGAACATGACCAGGGGAATGGTAGCTATGTACTTCTGCAAGAAAGAGGATCAAACAGAGATCACTGCCTTTTTTCTTCGATGCTTTTGCTGATGAACTGGGTGCAAAGTGTAGTATTACTATAGTTGTCTTACCTTTGGCAGCAGTAGTGTGTAGGTGAGATACATGGATATGTATGTTTGCGACAGGTTCACTATCAATCTGGTGGACATATAAAGCAATGCCACCTGAATAAGAGAGCAGGGTTTAGAGATGATATTAACTTTCCGAACTGTCTGTTATAACAGATAGTTACTAAATACTGTATCCTGAACATTTTCACACCACTGTGATTAAGTGATAACATTGTGTTTCAAGCCACTATTCAGATTAATCACAAAAGCTGAGAATTAACTTACATGCCACTGAAAAGTAACATGGGTATGGGCTGCTAACCTGGTAGAATGATGGCTGTCTCAGCCAGTGCTTCC